TGATAGTGTGTGACTTCCCATAACTCTCAAGCTGCATGCAGGGATTGGTTTTCTGTGCTGTATATGTGCAGAGGAGTAAAGGAGTGTCATTTTGGTAATTATTATTCAGAGAAAAACATCTGTGGCCCAGTGCCTGTGAAAATGATGATTATCAACCATAAGCAGATATGACAATCACTTCAGGAATTATTTTATTGATCTCTGGAAAATTGCATTTACTTTCAAAAATAAACAAAATTGTTTGCTTCTGGTAAATGGTGAAAAACACTTCAGCTTCTTTGTGAACAGGAACGGCAATCTCCTGGGAGAATGAGTCATGAAAACATTAGTATAGTTTGAACTTACTGTTCTGCAATTCCATTATTTTAATTGTTAGGATTTTTGATATCCAAATGGAAGCATTCATTATACTTTTTTATCTTGGGAATGGACAGGCTATTAAAATAAAAATCTTAACCCAAATCTGTTTTAGCTAAGCATACTTTAGCTAGCTTTAGGTCATAAAACCCATATGAATGCAAGTTACAAATTAATCTTTTATTAGCTTCTTTATTATTCTTTTATTGGTTTCATTTTATTAGCAGATGAAATGTTGGTGCAATGGTAAGGTGTAGCCTCAGGAAAGAAAATTTTCAGTCCTTTTGGGATGCTTCAGCCTGTGGATTCCTTGACTCATTATTGGCACTGAGCATTACTAATGTTGAAGAGCTTACATTTTCCTTTCATCAGACTTTTCACTCTCTTTTTATTTATTTAGTTGCAAGCCAGAAAGCAGCGAGACCAAAGAAAATGAGGTATGATAATAATTAGAGGGGCAGATCAGTCATAGGAGCAGTGCTGGGGGAAGAGCAGGGGATTAGGCATAAAGGCCCATCAGTTACTGTCATTGCTTTGATTTCCTTTGAGAGTGACTGTAATGGCTGTTGTAGTATGATTTATAATTAGAGTGCTTTTAGCAGTGGAAAACTTCACATGGATTTTCACATTTTAACAGAAATGGAAAATTCAGGTTTTTGCACAGCTGTGTGTCAATGCAAAAAGGATGCTTGTCATTCCCTGTGTTGAATCTCAAGAAATTCTGCAAAAGAGGAGTCAAGTATTTGGCTGGGACATAGGTGTTGACAATGTACTGTAAAATTCAAAAGTGCCTGAGGGGCTGAGTGTGCAGTTCCTGGAGAGTCTTCTGGCAGTGACAGGAAGAAGCTGTCAGAAGGAATTGGATGCTTCCCCCATTTTCTTGGATGCAGCAGGCACAGTACTCTGCTGCTGCTCTCTGTGGCAGGGGAGTCCAACTTGAAAAGGTTTTGACTGGTTCCAAAAACTGCCTCCTGCAGACATTTTCATGCATACTGGCTGTGACTGATTTTGCAAGTTTTAAGTTGCAAATTTTTATGTTTGTGATGGAGTCTTGCCTAGAGATAGCTTCATGGGTAGCTGGAGGTCCTGGTGCTGAGCTCATTTAAAGTATTTGTGTTGTGGGCTGGTGGAATTTTCTGTCATGTTATTTGGAAATGTTGGGTCACTGTAGATGGATGAAGGATGTAAAGGGACAGAAAACAAGGATGTGAGGAGAGCTTGCTTTTAGACCTGTAGGAGCTGATCATGGACCAATATATTTAGCTCTGATACTTTGCACAGACCATGTATGTGTGAACTCCAGATTGCCAGTCTCCCTGACTGGATGCGCTCTGTAGGACTGGTGACTCTTTTGTGCTGCAAGGGGAAGCAGAGGGCTCTAGGAGACTCACTGGCAGAGGTGATCTCTCCCTGGAGATCACAAAGCTCCTTGCCTTGCCCTACAACATGCTGAGGTCTCTGGTGTCGAGATGACCCCGAGGTGTTAGAAAGTCTCTTTTTCCCAGCCCTGGACCAAAGAAGATGATGGGATTCCTCAGTTCTGGTTCTCAAGGTTGTTTATTTTCTCTTATCTAATACATTGTCTTTCTGACCCGCTGAGGTCTGTCTGGCAGGTCAGGTTGAGGCACAGTGACTGCCCTCAGGGTGGTGTTATCTTTTTATACTAAAACTATGTGTACTTTATTTACAATAAATATTTACAAAAAATAATTTTCCAATACCTATCACCTATGTTATACAGTTTGTCTCTAAACCAATCCAAAAGTGCCACCATCACAGCAGAAGATGGAGGGCAAGAAGAAGAAGGAGAGGACACACCCAGATTCCTCCATCTTACCTCTTGAACCCCCTTTCTAAAACCCCAAAATTCTTCATTTTCACCCTGTGATAAATTCACTAACATTTTACTCAAACCCCCTGTGGCTTGTAAATCTTCTCACAAAGTTGATAATTGTTTCCATGGGCTGAGATAGAAGGCACACGTGTGTTTGACTCCATGCCAAGGTCTCTGAGCCCCCTGCCAGGGTCTCGAATCACCCAGGGCAGCCAGAGGAATGTCCCGGGTTCTGACACAACAGAGCTGAGTGTGAGGCACACGAGGCAGTGGATCCATGGGCAGCCCTTGCCAGGCTGTGTGCCTGTCCATGTAGGGACTTGGGTTTACCTCGTGTCCCTATAGCAGGACAGCCTTCTTGAGCACCACCCACTACTGAAACTAGAGATGGGCTGCTTTTTCTGATTTTTTCTCTCCTGTTCCACTGATCCCCAAACTCCATGCCCTAAATGACTGTTCACCAGAAGTTGCTGTGAGCTGCTACATACTTTGGCAAAACTTAGGAAAAGCCATCTTAAATGCAATTGTGGTGCCACAGTCTGAACCAGTGCATGGGTTTTTCCATATATGTTTTGTGATAACTTTTTTTATGTGCAGATCTATAGCTCTCCCTGAAGAAAATCAAAAAATAGTAAAACTTTACCTCTCATAGAATTTTTTTTTTTTTTACGTTAATCTAATGGGAAAACTCAGTTTTTCATGGCTGCTGTTAGTCTGAACAGCAGACAGTTTGTTTGATCTGTTAGGATCTGTTTAGCTATATGAAAGTAGCAGCTATGTATTTTTATTATTGGGATACTATGATACTAAAATGTCAGCGAATCTCAAAAGATTTCATTCTAAAACAAAATCAACTTTTATTAATCTAGAAGAGAAGTTGATTTTTCAATGAAAAAAAAAATTATCTTGTTCTACCTCTACACCCTAACTTTAGTTTAGATGGTATTCTGATACTAGTCAGTTTGAAGAACAAACATTAGTGAAGTATATTCCATTCCACTCATATACTCAGAACACCCTTTTTCTGTGGAATATATGTTTGAAAAAGGAAATTCAGTTTCCCTCATCCCCCTCTTTCTCCCAAATACCTTTTCCTCTGGCTCTTATTTGAATTGTAGTTAACGTCTAAGCTCTTTCAAATGGAAGATGAATTATAAACCTAACAACCTTTTGTGCCCTTCTGACAAATTACACCTCGTGCTGCTTTTTTGCCTTAGAGTCAAATCCAGTTTTAATACAATTGTGATTTATCAGCCAGGGTGGATAATTTTTAAAAATATGCTTCTTATTGTCATCTTATTTGCCATGGTAGAAAAGAATATATCAATTTCAAAAACAGTCAGACCATCATTCTTGGAAGCATTTGTAAATGTTAAATCTAGACCAATGGAATAATAGTTATTTCTATGAGATTAGCAGCTCTTTGCATACTGGCGATGTGGTAACCCATTTTTTAAACTTTCAAAAAGTCTAAAGTCTAGTTTTATGTGGTGATGGCAATGGGATTGTGTTACTTGTTTCACTCCTCCTCCTTGGCAGTGCCAAATAATCTGCCTTGTCCTCTACAGTCAGTGTGGTGGTAACATGGGGCCTGACTTCAATTGCAGTGCTAGCTGGAACCTGTTCACCTCGGTTTGAGGATTACCACAAAATTGTAAAAAGTGACATGGAAGGTATAAGAAGAGAGATTATACCCAAGGAATACTTTTGTGTAGGAATACTTTTGTGTAGGAATACTTTTGTGTAGCAGGCTCAAGAGAAGTACCTTGTGTTGATGGTGACTGTCTTAGCAATGTTGTAGGTTGCCATTGTTATCTGTGCAGGTTTTGAAGGAGAGGTGGAAAGGTGTTTTGCTCATGGGGCTTTGTTATTTTCTTCCCTGTCTTGAGGTGCTACTTAATGTTACTCTCTGAATTGGTTTGTTTCATGAGGTAAAAGTTACTCTGTTTCAGTTTTAACCTTAGAGATGCAATCACCAGTTCTAGCAGAGGGGAAAACCTCTTTTATATATCATGTCCCATGGTGATCTGGTGCCCATCTGAGCTTGACTGAGAATTGGTGTCCTGTAGACCTCCAGGATAACTTGTGCTGAGGTCTGTGGAGAGCAAACTGAGACAGCAATACTTACTGATGATTAGATAAAAAACGAATGTCCTGACTGATTTTATAGGTTGTATGCTAAAAGTATTCATACTGCAGATACTGTTGGAGATTTATTTCTGGCCTTTTTTGTATATTGGGTTTATCCCAAGCTTACTCCAAAATGCATTGATTTCTTTAAGACAAATTTTGTTTCAAATGTTAATATTTAATTGGTGTGTGGATTGGCCTTGCCAAAATTGAACCTCCTCTGATGTTAAGAACAATACTACACTGTTTCAGAAGTTGATAAAATGAAAGCATTGAGATTTTTTTTCTTCCTTGCTGTTCACATCAGTTTGGTGAATTGTAGGTCAACAGTTTCATGAAAAATACTTGTATTTGCATTGTTGTTATTCTGTCTGCAAAATCTTTCCTATGCTTTCCTAAAAAGTAGGATTGTAAGAACTAAGCAGCATATTATTATGTAAGAATTTGTGAAGATATTTGCAAAGACCAATTATACAGGCACACCAAGAAACAAAAGTAATAGCTCTAATGTTTCCAAGAGCATCTCCTGAGCCGTGCATATGGTTCAGAAGGAATAAATCAGTTACACCTCCAGATTTAGGTTTGTGAGAAAAGTAGAGCAATGCAAATGTATAGCCTGAATTGTGAATTTTTGCTTGTGTAGAGGTTGCTACTATCACAATCCTATTGCTTGTTCTAGAGCATCTCATCCTCACGAAGTAGAAGCTCATCTCTGTTGCCACCTGGGACAGCTAATTCTGCATCTCCCAGTGGCCAGAAACACACGAATCAAAGTGGGCCAACTGTTGTAACCATCACACATCACAAATCACCTGCAGCTGCTCGAAGAGCAAAGAGCCAGAGATCTGGTCAGCTCCACGAAGTCCGAGAGGTAAGAGAGAAACATCTGCTGGTTTGCTATGGCTTGGAAGTGCTTATTTTGCTTCACAATGAGCAATTGAATCTGACAAGTTAACAATTATCTTTTTTTCCTACTTTGACTGCTTTGTTTTGATCCTCTTGCTGAGCAAGAGGTGGGCTTTAGTTCTGGTTCAGCTTCAGATCAGGTGTATACAGATTTTTTATGCTGATGTTAAAATTGGTGTGTGCACATGCTTGAAAGTGAAATAGATAGGCAACAGCTCCCAGGCTTTGCAGTGGTATTGCAGGACTGGAGGAAAATCTCTTTGAAGCTGGGTGCAGCAATACTTTTCAGATTGGAAAGTGGGCCCTGAAGCATTTAAATATAGCTGGAAAAAAATTACTTGAATAATTCTGATGAAAGTGTGAATGAAGGCGTAGCTCCCCACACTCAGCAGTTTGTTGCTATGCGGTTGTAGTCTTAACTTTGTGTCAAGTTTATATTGCTGGCCTTGCAGAGGGAAGATGGTTCATCTGTATTAAATGCATGAAAACCAAAGCATAAAGCTTATTTCTTTTAAAGGCTGTTTGTACCAGTGTTTAAGAAATTTAACTCATACCAATTTAACTCTGTCTTTCAGACAACAAAAATAGTGCAGAGTTTTAAGCTTAAATAGTATGGCAGATTTTTGCAGAACACACTTTCATCTTTCATCTCTTACTCTTTTTCGCTTTGTCTTTCATGTGAAGAATTTGAATAAATGCTTGGGATGTGCTCTGAATGAAGACTTAAATTGCACATCCTGTGGAGGAATGCTTGTTTTTCTTCTAGTAAACATTAGAAATGAAGAACTGGCTGTCTGAATGTCACCCACATTTTCTTTACATTAGAGAAAACATACATCTGTCTATTTTTTATAGAAATATCCTGTCTTTGTCTACCAATCATTTCCCCCAGGTTACTCCTAGCATGCTAAATGTATTTCCTCTCATACATTGAATTCAGAGTGCACCTTAAACCTATTAATAAAATCAACAGTGGGAGTGGTTGCAATTTTGTCAAATGGAGCTGAATAAGGCTGAAAGCTATTTGAAAGGGAGTATTAGTGTATGTGCTGATCATAATAAGTTGGGAAGAGAAAAAGCCATCAGTTGCAAAGAATACAGCTGGAAGAAATAAATACCAACCTATAGTAAAACAATGAGAAACAGTTCAGGTATCATCCCTGCAGAAAAGGCCAGTGAATTGCTGACTCACTTGTTTGTGGTGCATTGCAATGTGATGCCATTCCAAAAAAGGTAACTATTGCAGGACTTCAGTCTATAATGATGGAAGGTAATTATTTTGTTTTGCTTGATGTGAATGGTACCTTTTAGAGGTCTGCAATAGTAATGAGAAAAAACCCTCAGACATTGAAGATACAATAATGGCTGAAAGAAATGAGTGCTTTTCAGGGAGAGAAAATGGTACTAAAATGAATGATGCGTAAGCAAAATTTCATAAGACAGTGTGTGAAGTTTACCCTTTTATGTGTTGGATATTTTGTGTGTGTGTGTTGCTTCCTAAAGAACAGCAAACAGTGGAGAAATCAGAGCTTCTGCCCTCTTTCCCAGTCTTGTGTAAAATGTGGCTGCTTAACTGATGTTGTTTCTATCTTGTGAAAGGCTAAGTCTGTTTTTTCCAGATTAAGGAAGTACATTTTATTTCAACAGTATGCTCTGTGCACTTCCTTCTCCCCCATTTTCCAGAGTGAATGAAATAGACTTGGGTATATGATACCTGTGTTTTCAGGAAATATCTTTGTTCCATGTATGAGTCAAGCAGTCACTGTTAGATCCACCCTCCCTTATGAAATTTATCAATGAAGAGATATGTCCAGAGCCCCTCACAAAAGTGCGCTTAAATCTGTTCTAGTCCTGTTTTTTAATCTGAAACAATGAAAAATAGGAGCTAAAAGTACAGTGAGAGAGAGAGAGAGTTAATCCTTTCCTCAATGCCCAAATCTTTACTTTTTATTTGACATTTGTTTGGTATGATCTGGATGAAGGGAAGAGACTTCAAAAGGATTATAGATCAATTTTAGTGTTCCCCTGATTGGACAATGCCATTGAAGCTTTGACATGCAAATAAGTTTTTCTAAATTGTTCCATAAATAGGACTGCATTAGCTAATTTTGCATCTTATAAATACAGTAGTTGAGTCAATGTAAAATGTTGATCTGCTTCTGGAAAATGAGAGGAAGCATGTGTGTTTTAAATTTCACAGCAATGTTATGCTATGGTAGTGCTACCATGTTATATGTGAGATCTTTGAAAAACAGGAATGCTGCAAAGAGGAGCATCCTTCACTTGGCACGTGTGCTAGCTGGGACAATGTTTGCTAGCTGGGACAATGTTCCTGAGAAAGCAACTCAAAATTGCTTCTCAATTCTGAACTTCCTTGATCTGGCCATGTTATCTGGAAAAAAATGAGATGTATCTCCACCTTGCAAATAGGGCAGAATACACTCCTATATTTTATAAAATGCAAGATGTTTGGTAATACTTGATTGTGCTTTCCCCCTTCTTTTCTCTTCATAATAAGAATAAACAAAACAGCAAGAATAAACAACAGTGTTTCCTTCTGTGGTTTGTTCTGGTTTGATTTAGCTTCTGGTAGATTTTTAATAGGCTAGAGAATTTTAGCATGAAACTAATTGTAGCAAAGAGGTCTATTTAGCACCAAACTGACAAGCAAAATCATATAAATGTAGTAGATGCAACTGTCTAGGTCTGCAAAATGACACATGTAATAAGTGTTTCCATTGTGAAATTGGAATTTCACCTATTTTTCAAATTTTGGTAAGTTAAAATTGAGTATAAGTATGGAGGTTTTGACTGCTATAATAAATTTATGTTTTAATACTTGCCCTACTTTTGTATAGTGTTGAATGGAAAAGGAGCTCAGGAGCATTGCTTTTAATCATAATGTAATTTTTTATTCTGTTTAATATCTCTTAAATCAGATTTTTGCTTATATTAACTTGGTGTTAATAGTGCAGTCCACACTGATTTATGGAATGTTACATCAAAACTAAAATTAACTGTACATTAACTTGTGAGAAATTATCTGCATCGTGTTGCACTTCATGCAGAATTATTAGAGATCCTACCTCTTTATTTGAACCATAACTTAGCATTAAAGCACTACTTTGAGCTAATTTTTTAGTAAGTGATTTTATGGCAAACGAAGTCTCTGTGGTCTTGAAATTTAAATCTGTTTTTAAAACTGTGTATATTATTGTCCTGTTAGAAATTTATGATCAGAGTTATGCTTTCAGATTTCTTTACTGTAGGTGGTTAAAATCAACTGGAAAGTTAAGCCATGTGGCCACATCACACTTCATATTAAATTTTAGCTGTCACTGAACTAAATAATAGTGACAGAATGGTCAGAATGGTGTTTATTTTGGCTGAGAGTATCTGACTCCTGTACAACCTCTGCCAGTGTCACAATTGTTAAAGAACCAAGTGTGTGAAGATTTTGTAGTAATTGATTGTAATTATTTGCAGACATTTAGAGAAATTAAACTAAAAGAAGTCCAGATAAATATTTCTTCCCATAATTTAAAAAAGCAAATGAAGAATTTTCTGATCACTTTGAAATGTGCTTCTTACAACTTTTGATACTGTGACTAGTCATCAGTATGGATTTCTGAACATTTGGTACAGGGAAATCCAGATTTCACAGGGCCTCTACCAGTGTAACATCTCTTTTGTCTGCCAGTTGGCAGTCCTAGAACTTGGAAAGGAGTGCTTTTTGATGAGATGACAGTCCTACTGCTTCTTGCACATCCTTTTCCATATATAAACAGTTACTGTTTGATTCCTGCAGGAATTACACAGCTAAGTGACAGTTCTTTGCTTCCTTCCTTACAATATGGGGAAATCTAGGACTTGCACATAGGGCTTCATGGAGTGAGGTTTAACAGCAATTTTGCGAGGCAACAATTTTATGTGGTTATTGGGAAAAAGAGATGATTCTAAAATACTTTTGAGGATTTTTCACATGAGAAATGAATGTCTTCGGGTCGCTGTAATATTTGGATAGCAAAGTTAGGAACTGTGACTCGCTACTGTTAGAAAAAAGGATGCTGTTGTGTGTGGAGATGTGTTTGTTGTGTCACAGAATTATAGTGCTGCACAGGCAGCATTGTAGGTGACAAAGGAGATGTGGTACTTCAACCACTTGGGGTAGCATTAAGACTTGCAGGACTTTCACAGGTGTGAACTTTATGTGAAGATGTACACTAAGATGTGTGTTGATGTTAAAGCTTTGTAGTAAATGCTTAAGCTGATAGTGGGGGAAATCTTGATGGTTTTTGACCTATGTCAAATTTTACTTTGCAGCTTTGAAAAAGTCAGGTTTTGCTTTTTATTTCAGTTTTTTTTTTGGCCTCCTTTTTTTTCTCTGAAAACATGTACTTGGAAAGGTCAGTGGATAAGGAATAATGTGAGTCCTTACAAAAAGAATGCTGTAGCTCTAGATATTTGGCATAGTGTTGAGGTTCTGTGGGGTTTTGCAATAAGGGTGCATGGAAAAAAAAAAGGATTCAGCTCCTTGAACAGGACATCATGCTTAGTGTGAAGTATGCACAAAGACCTTTTAAAAATCCTCGTAATAATTTAAGTGGTTTTGAACTTACATGCCTAATTTTGTATAAAATTACTTTGTATAAGTGGGGAGAAATGCTCTATATTAGATCATTACTTTCACTGCAGTTCTCACCTTGATTTTGGAGTGCAGGAAGATGAGAGCTAGCTTTTTAACAAAGATGACCTTTAGGTCTGCATGAGTAATAAATCAAATATTTGCTTTTAGGAGATGAAAATGATCTCATATTCACCTAAGGTGTGGAGGTAGGGTGGGCTGCTAAACTGTGCTAACTTCAGTTTTTCTGGCCTAGTAATGTGGGTGCTTTATAGGGGAGAGCTGGTAACCGTGGACTGCAGCTACAGTAGCACTGCTCAGGTCTCTGTTGCTGTGCCTTT